CAAGCGTGGGGCGCGCGTATACCCGATTCGATTTTATTACTCATCAATGTCTCCACCAGCCTACTCTCAAATCGAAATTCTTTTAGGCAGGATTAGAGTAAATTAACTTATGAGACTTTGGGCGTGATCAAATACATCAATCGAAAGGTTTGACCTCCTGAATCCAAAACTATAATAAGATCTTAAATCGGTGAAGAGATGACGGAGCTATGAGCTAAAAGTTTGTACTTGAAAGAAAAACTCGGAGCCATTCAATGAGCCGCGGCTGAAAAGTTTACGATTGTTGTTCTTTGATGTTAAGCACAAAGCTACACAATGGGCTATCTGTGCTCTGCCCACCACGGGTATCGAAACCCGGTTTCTAGCGTTGTAAGTCCGCAGACATACCGCTGTGCCACTGGGGGACTGAAAAGTTTACGTAAAACCCTTATACATAATTTTTCTTCATCAAAAGGGTCCCGGGCGTAACCTTACTGGTTAGCGTTCCAGGTTGCGTATCGAAGAGTCCAATATTCGACCCATGACGTTTCTGGACACACTCCACTAGTTTCAACTCTGGAATCGTTATAAAAGTGCCATTCAATCCTGTTATTTAAGTCCATAATAGGTAGAAATTAGAAATGGCTATACCTGAACTCTCAGGATCCCTGACCTGGTTGTTTAATAACACATGTATTATTATATGAGGTGCCGTTAAGGGCTACTTTTGTAAAACGGAATATTCAGAGTTGACCGGAATTCTTATAACGCACCCACGGTACTAAAGTGCGGAGTGCAATTTTTTCCTTCTTTTTGCTGTAACTGGACACAAACCACGGAACCTCAGGTCTACAGCCCGGCACGCTAACCAATGGCCGCGTTCGATTCCTACTTTATAGTTATGTGCTGTTTATGATGAGTTTGGTTTACATAAAATGCCAGGAAAAAAAGAACCCTAGGGAGTTCTATACTTTTCAAATGATGCTTTTCCATAATCCTTGAAAATTGATACATTTTTATTTCTGCCAGAATCTTCAACATCAAAAGCAACAGTAATTTTGAATGTTTCCAATGCTGCTATTAATAAGTGTGAGGGTTAAGTTATATACTATCTTAAATCCAAATGATCGAAGGCCAAAGTTCAAAGTTCTTAACTACTCAATGCGCATAGTTAACTTATCGTTTTACTTTATATTGTCATATATGTTCAATGTTCGGCTGATCAAATTTGTTTGCTATTTTAGTATGAAAAAAATGTTTCTTAATAATCATCACTAAATTTTTACACTGGTGACACTCCTGTTTGTTTTTGAGCACAAAGCTATCCACATGGGCTATGTGTGCTCTGCCCACTTGAAGTCTCGAAACCCGATTGTTAGCGTTATAAGCCCTTAGATTTATAGATGAGCTACCAGGAGACAACTGAACTTGAATTTTTACATTTTATCAGTAATGCTCAAAACCATTATTATTTACAGCCTTAACAACACTTCATACGTCACATTGATTATTAAACTGTTACGTCTCCGTTTGTTAATTGATTTTCAGTAAATTCGTTCCGACGAAACTTTGACGACACAAGTCCTTTCTTAATAAAACTGGTTTATTCTTTCCGAATATAACTTTACCGATACACTTAACTTCAACAATCGCGCTAAAACAAACGCTAATCAACGAACGTCAACAATACTTCTGACTGCAGTTCAATTACTCACTGTCTACACACACATTACCGCGTCACGTTGTCCCCCTCTTTTATATACCCGACTACCCTATA